AAATAAAATCACAGGTTGCAACGATCATTTACTTACCATTATGATTGATATCGATTAAAATATATATTAATTTATATAAAATATTGAAAGAAAAAATTTTTTTTTTTCCTTTCCAATTTTTTAAAAAATTTTATGTATTCATTGTCTTTAATGAATGTTTTTACAAGATATACATAGATATATATATATATGTAAAATTATTAATATGGAAGAATACAACAGAACATGATGTCGACAAATTTCCCTCCACGATCCGCACACATTCTTCTTGTTTAAACAACAACAATTGGAAAAAAAAAAAAAAAAATCTTTTTTTTATTTTTATTTTATTTTAAATGATTTAATTTTATGCGATAATTGTAACTAATAATAAAAAATTTTTAATTTGTTAAATTCTACGCATTTAAACGGCTAAAATCATTAAAATCATTAACTTTTAAACAAATAATTAATAACGATCCGCCATTGATTTGAGTTTGGTATGAATAAAGTTTAGTTTAAACACAAATAGTTTTTTTTAATTGACTAAAAAATATCTTTAATTATATTAAACTCAATAATTTTCACTCTTAATATTTTAAAAACACGAACGTAAAACATTTAAAAATAAAAAAACATTCGTAATTAATCAATTTTAATAATAATAATAATAATTTTTTAACAATAAATCTCAACAAAATAAAAGTTGATGAAAATAAATTTTTTTTTTTTTTTTTTTTTTGTAATCATTTAAAACATATTTCTCCTGTAAAATTCAATGGGTGGAGTAATAAAATTTAATCCTTTAATAGATTTTTTAAAATTTTTTCCTTTTGAAAAATCTGATTCATCATCTTCTAATAAAATAGAATCGTGATTTTCTGTAAAAAAAAAAAAAAAAAAAAAAAACAACCAACCATTTTCTTTTTTTCTTCCCTTTTAAAATATTTATTTAAGGAATATAAATTTCAAACCTGTTTCAAATAATGTCGGCGTGTTTATATCAAGAATTTTTATTTTTTTTTTATTCAAGGGGGTCGTTGTTGACCACAAAAAAAAAAAATTAAAATATTTTATTCCTTTTTCCCCATCATCATCAACATCATCATGATCAATCCCTTCTGCAATTGTGATGTCAAATCAAAATTTTTTTCACAAATATTTTTTTTTATCAATTCATATCCGGTCAAACGATAATTTTCATAATCGAAATCTTTTCTTTCTTTTTCTAAAAACCAAAAAAAAAAAAAATCTTTCATAAATAATCGTGTAATTATTTAACTTTATTTAAAATAAAAAAAAAAAATTATTACTCGATTCTTCAAAACGAATATAATCGTTCCCATTATCATTATCATTATCATTAATGGCAATTTGTAAATTTTTAAGGGAATCAACGGCAGTTTCGAGAATTCCTGGTAGAATATTCAACGATGATGTTTTCGAAAGTATTTCAAAATCAAAATTTTCTTCTAAATCCTTTGTAAATTTTCTAAATTCCTTTTCGAAATCCATATTGCACTTTTCATTATTATTATTATTATTATTATTATTACTTTTAACCGTTGATTTTTCATTTGTTTTTAAATAATGATGATGATGATAATCATTGCAATCAGGTGTAGGCGAACTGAGTCAAAAAAAAAAAAAGGAGAAAAGTTTTAAATTATTATTATTATTTTTGTTACTTATTAACATTTCTTTGAAAATTGTTAAGGTCAAAACATCAAAAACAGCAACAACAACAACAACAGCAACAACAACAACAACAACAACAGCAACAACAACTCTTACAAAAAGTTTAAAAAATATAATTAAAAGACGAGTTTCTTCTTCTCTTTTAAATAATTAAAATGAATGAATCGATAAATGTATGTACATATTATAAATAGGAATAAAGAAATTGAAAGGAGTAAAATTTTCATAAGAAGAATTTTTTACAAAAGATTAAATTTTTTAATGTAAAAATGAATAAGAAATGGGCTATTGAAATTTTCAATCAGGTATTATAATTATAATAATTGATTTGGTTTAAAATGGATGGGGAGGATGGGTGAGGAGGGGGAGTAGGAGGAAGAGGAGGAAACAAAATTTATTTACAAGGTAACATCATCATTTATGTTCAAACTTGCAAAAATATTTTTTTTTTCCTCTTATTTTTCATTCCGCTTCTATTTTTATTATTATTATTATTATTACTATTTCCTTTCTATATATTTTTCATCATCGCCATCATCATCATCTTCTTCTTCTTCTTCTATATTATTATTATTTTCTTTTTATTTTTGCTTTTTTTTTCTTCTCCTTTCCTTATTTTTTTTCTTTTTCTTATTTCCTTTTTTTTCTAATACTTTTTCTTATTAAATCCTTTCATTTTCTTTTTTTTTTTCTTTTTCTTTTTCTTCTTCTTTATCTTTCCTTCTCCTTCGTTGCCTTTTTCTTTTTTCTCTTCTGTTTATCGTTCTTAGTTTTCTTTCTGTTTGTTTTTATCTTTTTTCTTCGTTTTTACTTCTTATTTTTATTCTTTTTATTACTCTTTTTATTCTTTATTTTCTTCCTCTTATTTCCTTTCTATTTCTTTTTTTATCTTCTTCTTATTATTATTTTTATCATTATTACAATTTTCCTTTTTCTTTTTTTCCCCTTCACCTTCGTTGTCTTCTTCTTATTTCTCTTTTTTTATTGTTTTTATTTTTCTTTTTGCTTTCTTTTCCTCTTTTTCTTCTTATTTTTCTCCTTATTTCTTTTCTTTTCATTGTTCTCATTTTTTTTCTGTTTATTTTTCCCTTTTTTCTTCTTCTTATTTTTCTCCTTTTTTCTTTCTTCTTCGTTTTCTACTTCTTAATTTTCTCCTTCTTCTTCTAATTTTTCTTTCTATTAATCTTTCTCCTTCTTCCTTTTTTTCTTATTTTTCTTTCTTTTCTTTTTTATCTTATTATTATTAGTATTATAATTTTCCTTCCTCTTTTCCTCTTTTTTCCCTTCTCTTTCGTTGTCTTTTTCTTGTTTCTCTTCTTTTTATTGTTCTTATTTTTCTTTCTGTTTATTTTTCTCTTTTTTTTTTCTTCTCCGTTTTCTTGTTCTAATTTTTCTTTCTTTTTATTTTCTTTATTCTTTATTCTTCTTATTTTTCTTTCTGTTTATTTTGCTACTTCTTTTCCTTTTTCTTCTTTTAATTTTTCTTTCTATTTATCTTTCTCCTTCTTTTTTTTTCTTTTTCTTTTTCATATTATTATTATTATTATTACTATTATAATTTTCCTCGTTCTCATTCATATTTATTTTCCTTATAACATACGGGAACTCCCTTTTTATTTCACATAATAAAAATATTTACATATTTTTATCCTCACTTCTTTCCTTTCTTCCTTCCTTTTTTTTTTTTTTATTTTTCCTCATTTGAATTTTTACATGCATTCATCCGATCGATAAATTTTGCAATAAACTATTTAATAATTATTATTTTTTTATTATCGATAACACGAATGACGTCACGAAAAAAAATTCAAATTAAATTTGTCAATTTATCAAGAGGTTGTTGTTATTGTTATTGTTGTTATCATCATCATTTAATTAATCCCCCCCCCCAACGTTTTTTTTTTTTTTTTAAATCAAAACCATTGAAATCTAACATCCGTTAAAAATTAATAAATAAATACATAAATAAATTTTAATTTTTCCATTCAAATATTATTGGAAAAAAAAGTCGTTTAGTACTTACCTTATGGGACTTAAATTTAAATCGTTAATAAAAAATTCATCGTGAGAATTTTTCAAATTTGATAAATTTTTTTCTTTTAATAAAGTCGATGATGAATATTTTTCAACTTTTTGTTTATTAATCTTTTCATTTTTCGACCTGAAAATAACAACAACAAAAAAAATAAATAAATAAATAATTAATTAATTAATTAACTCAAAAGAAATTTCTTTTTTTTTTTTTTTTAAATAAACATTTATTAAGTGACAATAAATGAATACCATTAAATAAATAAATAAATAAATAAATAAATAAAAAGTTATGTATTATAAAGAAAAGTCTTTAACTAATTCTATAAAGTATATTAATTAATTAATAAAAAAGGCAAATAATTCGTTAAAATATCTCAAAATTAATTATTTTTTAAATAAAGAAAATAATCTTAAATAAATTAATGGTTCATTTATTTCAAATAAGAAAAAAAAAACCGCGTAAATATTTTTAAAACGGAATGTACGTGTATGGATTAAAATACGTTTGAGTCCTTTACAAACAAACAAACAAACAACAAACGCGAAAAACAAACAAAAACCTTATATATATATATGTGTGTGTATATAAATATACATTAAGATAATTTAAAAGATTGTGTTTTCATCTTAATAAATAATCGTTTTATGATTAATTAATTAATATTAAAAAATATGATGATATTAATAATAATACTACAATTAATAATAATAATTATTATTATTATTATTCGAAACGAATTTAAATAAATAAATATATTTTGAAAAAATTTTTTCCCCTACTTTTCTTTTCCCTACACAAAAGAAATTTTTTTTAATATATATTTTTTTAAATTGAAAATTTTTATTTTTTATAAAAAAAGTAATAATAATAAAACTGAATAATAATGGTAATGATAATAATAATAAAATTTACA